CGTCACAGCGTCAACGTCCTCAGTCAACGGCGTCAATTGTCCTCACACGCTTTCAAGTCAACGCGTCGTCAACGTCCTCAACGCAGTCGACGTCGTCAATGCAACGTCATCAACACTATCAATGCAACGTCGTCAATGCAACATCGTCAACGCCGTCAATGCAACATCGTCGACGTTGTCAATGCAACGTTGTCAACCAACAGTCAACGTCGTCGATGTCACCATCTACCTCGTCTCTCACCACGGGCTTGGCAAGCCTTACCCCTGGGAGGTCTAATGCGATGCACACGCGATGCACACACAAACGCGCCCAGCAGCGAGCAGTTTCTGCCACGTAAGTAGCACGATATCTTTTACCCAAGTCTTCGGCTAACAAAATGTCATAGATTTTGTCCAACTACTCAATGACGAACAAGGCAAAAGTAACGCGTACAAAGGTTGAGTGTCAGATTGGCACTTTCATGCAGGAGTAAGTATCATATTCTCTTTTTGCACAACTTCTCAGGTAAAACTAACCCTTTCAAAATACTCAGCACGCAAAGTGGAACGCATACGCTGGTTCTGCGGATGAAAATACGTCGTCTCAACGCTGGAAATGAGTAACGGCGACGTTTCGAAGTTCTGGGGGGGGCATTAACGGAGCCAGGACATGCTAAGTGATAAGGTACGTCAGTTTGAGTCTGCAGGTCATCCTCCTAATTACGGCTCAGTATCATACCGCCTCCACAGACGCTCAGCTCATCCTCAGCGCCATTGACCAACTCCTATCACTCAACGGCTGGGTGGCCGCTCTATGTCCAACACTCACACGTCCCTTTGGCCAGAACAAACGCGAAGGCGCCTACGACGACCGCGAAAATCTCTATTACATCGCCATCGTCATACGCTCAGCCGACCACTTCCTCATCGACCAGCTCGCCGTTATCGGGGAAATGGCAAAAAGACTCGAACCGACAACCTCTTCGTCTCCATGCCCGACTACGACTCCAACGATTCGATGGAAACCCTCAGACCTGTGCGATTTAACATGCATATACACAGATGGCGAACGCGTGACATCGGAGGTGATCAATTCAGACAATCAAAATCTTCCTCCAAGCCAGACGCCGTACCTCCCACAACAAGCAAGGTGCCATCCGCTACGGACAGCACCTCCCATTCCAAGTATTCTGCTGCGAGTTCGGAACACACGTGTATTACAAAGGCGTCAGCTACCGCTCATGGACGGATTACCGGAACCTCTCAAGATCAGAGAATGTAGGCAATCGGGATCCACACCGTGATTCTTAGCTCAGATCACATTCTCAATGACGCCGCCATTGATGCCATGTACGTCCCCCTCCCCTTCCCATTCTTCCATGCTCATCACCTTTGCAGAGACTACAAAGCAGATATGCCTGTTTCCCCCTCCGCAAAGCAGACAATTCATTGGCCTTCATCGGCTTCCTCTTTGTCAAGAAGGTTCCTTCATTCCGTTTCGACATGGGGTTCTTTTTCCACGTGACAACGGCCGCTCAATACTCTGCTGCCATGCCACGTAGCCCCACCAACCCTTCTACGAGCCACGGCTGGTCGCATTAGTCACGACACGCCGTTCACCTTTCAACGACGTCCCCAACATGTTTGGCGGACGTCGATACGCCGTGTCGGGCTTTCGGAAGTTGAGTTGAAGGCAATAACGTGGCAAGGTAAGCCCATGAGTACTCGCGCAACAACAAAATTAACGACTTACTTTGAAGATCAACAGTATCTGCGATGAACCTGCGTTGAAGGCGGCTAGGGTGCAGTTGGTGATGTGGCGAAGAAGGCTTGGAAATGTTTGGAAGGCGGCAATGATGTAAGTAATCACATCAGCTCTCAAAGCAATGTAGAACTTACTTGTATCCGAAAGCTACCGCATCTGGCCAAATCAACGACATCTCAAACGCATTTGGCGGACGTTAATATGTCGTGGCGAGCCTTGGAGAGGTGGAAGAGAAGTGGTGAGGCGAGGAAGCGATCGAACGACGAAGGTACGTCGACCCCTTTGCCAAATCTTCAAAAAATGACGGCGCATAGTCGTTCCAGCCCGCAACGTCGACCGAAAATGAGAAACGAGCCCTGGGGGGGACTATGTCGTGCCCAGATAGCGATTAGTGGACGTCGATATGTTGCGTCGATGCAAGGCGGGGCTGTGATGACTTTAAATGAGGGTAAGTACCTCTTCCTGCCTAGTATCCTGAAACACATAACAAATCTTTTCATTCTTTTCTTTTGCAGGTTCTCAACCCCAATGAATGGCATCCGACATCTGTGCACAACCCACGCTTACAGAGGGCATTTAGCGGACGACGATACATCGTCTCGACGCCATGGCGAGGTGGAAGGCTTCTGGAAGCCTGAGGGTGACATTTGACGGATTTGCGGAAGACGATACATCGTCTTTGGGTGTCTTGGGGCCAGGAGTGGTGCAGGGCGTTGGTTGACGTTGTCAACTCATCAACGTTGTCAAAGTCGTCAACATTGTCAACGTTGTCAATGCTGTCAACATTGTCAATGCCATCAATGCCGCCATCAACCTCGTCTCTCACCACAGGCTTGGCAAGCTTTACCCCTGGGAGGTGCGTGTATTCTTGTTTTATCGATTGAACTTACCTACTCACTGATTAGTTTGAATAGATGTGCAGAATCTGCACTTGCAGTTCTCCCCCAATGGCCTCACAGCCCTCATCGCCCCCGCATACTGCGCTGGAGTAAATCCAGTATTTTACAGCCAGCCCCGACATCGTCAACACCGCCATCAACGTCGTCGACAATGCCGCTACATGTTGACGACGTCAACAATGTCATCCTAACCCCACTTGCTTCGTCTGCCGCGGGCGTTGGCTGGTCTCCACACCCTCAGCTTTGTTTAACCCAACTAACTCATCGCCATGGGACGTCGTTTAGACACCAAACGACGTTCCAAACTCCCCTGCTTTGTCTGCCCCACCCCATCGCTGTGGCACGTCGTTTTCACGCCGAACGATGTTCCAAACCCACCTGCTTCGTCAACGTCGTCGCCGTCCCCAGCCCCGACGTCATCAACGCCACTACATGTTGACGACATCAACAACGTCGTGAATGCTGCCATCAACATCGTCGTCAACGCCGCTACATGTTGACGACGTCAACAACGTCATCCAAACCCCACTTGCTTTGTCTGCCGCGGGCGTTGGCTGGTCTCCACCCCATCAGCTTTGTTTAACCCAACTCATCGCCGTGGAACGTCGTTTACACACCAAACGACGTTCCAAACTCCCCTGCTTTGTTTCCCACCCACCCCATCGCCGTGGCACGTTCACAACATGGCCCCTTCTCCGTGTTTCTTCCTGGTTATCTTATTACAGAGCACCTACCATATCGTACTTTTTTGTAAAGTTGAACTTTATTATGTAATTATTGTAGATAAGTCAAATGCCACTCGCAATTGAACGTGGGCTCGCAAACTCACCACGGAACGACTGCTTCGTTGATCCTCTGTACAAACCTTCAAGCCCAGTGTGATAGAGTCTTGGTCATACCAAACCTATCTTCTGTCAAGGTCTTTGCATCATTGGATAATATATTTCGACGGTCACAACGAGACGGCTGCTTTGACTCCAATTGATTTTTGAGATCTCTCCGATCAAAGCGTCAACTTGACTGGCGTGATAGCGTCTTGGTTATACCAAACCTATCTTCTGTCCTGGTTCTTGCATTCAGATTAGCACGATAGCGTCTTGGTTATACCAAACCTGTTGTGGGTTCAATATTTGCTTTCTCAAACGCAATAAGGTCTCGATTATTACGAACTTATCATCAACGGACTCCATTGAGGTCAGAAAATCTAGTTGCTAAACGCTACATGGACAATCCATCTCTGTAAGCGTTGCGATTTTCGCGTATTTCACCGTACTCAATTCATCGTGCACTTTAGCGTTACGCCTTGGGACATGGCTGCTCCCAGTGCACCCCGGCGTGAGCCTTATTTTCCAGAGTTGCACAGCACCACGGCTGAAAATGAAAATGCGTGCGTATTTGTTAACAATTGCACTCCATCTTTACTAACTAGTATCAAGGCCCCTTGATCGCTCTCGTGGACGACTTCAACGAATTCAAGACCGTTGATCTTCGAAGCCCGGAAAGTCCCACTGTACACTTCCATGAAAATCTGTCTGCCATGATCCACGTACCTCATTGGTGGACACAGGTGTTTGGGTGGATGGCATTCATACCTAAATGTGCTCACCTTGAAGGTGCTTTACTTGGCATTCTTGCTCACATACCCAGTGATTTCGATCAAGTCGATGGCAAGTACCAGTTGCCTGCCCACGTTATGAACGGATGGCGAAATGCAGAATGTTGGATGGTCAACGCAATGAAAGGCTTGAGTAGATTTGGAGCACTCGCTCCCGCATATCCTTCTGCACGAGGATATCTGAGGGCACATGCATCACCTTCCATTGCATGGAGGGAAGCACATGCCGCTAGAGAAATCTTTCTTCTGTGGATTGGTCTCTTCTCTTACGCAGTCGCAAGAGCCGATTCAACATCGTATCAAGAATGGAACTCCTTTCTGGTTGAAAAGCTGCAGTTCCATCCTTCAATTATTGACCTCATTCGTGCATCTGATATTGGCACTTGTACCCACGAGAGTCGGCGTGTGGGCACATTTATACATCTGAACAATACCGACATTAGACACACCTGCCAACCATCTGTCCGATGGTTTGTCGATCATAATATTCCTGTCTGGTACCAATGGGACAAGTATGAGATTAAGAGAGCTGAGGGAAATCCTTATTTATCATCAATAGGCCCTCTGCCTCATCAAATCGAGTTTCAAAGGGAGGAAGCTCTTTCCCACATACCAACAAATCTCGCTAAGAAGTACCCGAACCAGATTTGGGAACATTTTTTCCAGAAACGCAGGGAGTGCTTAACCCGATTGCTCTTTCTTGAGAAGCCATCTGAACGTGAGAGAAGGTTGAATCAAGAACAGATACCACCAACAAAGACTGCACAGGTCTTTGTGTGGGACAGAGATCCTGATCATCTTGTTCGTGAGGAGGTTTTTGTAAGAGAACGTGAGGAAACTTTGGCAGAATATGGCTCTCAGCAAAAAGTCTATAGCTCATTCTGGAATCAGTGGGACTGTTGCTGTGCATTTGGACCACCAGATGCATCTAGCAGTCAGGAAGATGAAGATGCATATAAAGATGCTGATCCTTTCCAAAATCCCAAGCAGTATGATGAGGTGATTGAACAACCCCCACTACAACAACCCATGATTCAGCCCATGACCGAAGAAGACTATGAGAATGCCAATACATTGCCTGACCACTACCAGGACACTCTGAAGGGCCCAAGGTGCACCTTACAAGGTCTGATCGATCAAGTACAACACATCATGCATGAACGTTATGGATTGGTCACTCCACAAACCTTCAACTCTCAAGGATTACCCTCTTTGACTAGTAAACATCGAAAGTTTTGGCTCCGATGGATTGGTCGATTGCCAACAAATAAAAATGAAGATGTGTTACATCAATTCTGGAATTTGGACCTTGTTAGGTTTTGGGTTGCCTTCACGGAAGAACTGCAGTGTCGCCAAAACATTCAAAATATCAACTGTGATATTAACATGTATCATGCTGATTCCTTAACAAAATCCAAACGCCTTCAACAGATCTGTCATGTGATCAATATTCGTGACAATGAACGGCATGATTTCAATCACCCATACAAAGATGATAGAAAACACATCAAAACCTGGTATATCTTTGACTTTGGAGTAGAAGCCACAGTGCCATGGAAATTGGCAGTCACATCAGCATCAGATGCATTGCTTGTCTGTAGACTTGATGATCGATTCCTGGATATTGATATTGCTAGGTATCTGGCAGGTCGTGGCATTGCATTTCGAACCTTGGCCTCAAGGGCTCAGATCCCATTGTCACCATCAGTACCTGAAGTTGACGTTTATTTACCCAGTCGTCCTCAAGACTATATCTTCACGCAAGCTGACTATGTAGCATATCTGTACTTCAGGGCACGTATGCTTCGTCGGCCTCGTATTCGAGCTGCAATCCTTCGGGGTGGATACTTCTGGAGATTAGTTATAGGCAGCGTTAGCCTGGATGAAGTTTTGGAGGGTCCTATCGGTGGTGCTAGTATGTTTTCTATTGAGGGTGATGGCAAAGAATTTGTGGATGACAAGTTATCCAAACATGAGATGGATCTTTTGTGTGGAACATATATGTGTGGAACATGTATGTTTTTTCATTCTCTTTTTAACCAATATGAGTGCTGACCTGATCTATTTGATAGCTCGTGCCAATGATACAGCTTTTAAGTCTTGGTGGCCGCCATCCAGTATCATTGACAATGAATCTACAAATCAAGTTTATGGCGAATGGAGTGAATGGGCAGAAGCATTATATTCAACCCGTGTTGCTGAAATTCGTTCAGGCAGTGCCCAGCCTCGTCCAGTCTCGCAATGGAGGAACTTCCTTAAGGGTCACAAGGAGTCAACGTTACTTATACGACAAACAGAAACATTAGCAGTTAACTTCCTCATCAAACATCGACCTGAATTAAGAACCACCTTGATAAAGTGTAATGCTGAGTGGTGATAGATACATACATAGATACATAGGGCCATTTGTAAATAATTACGAGAAATAAGATATTGGTATGCACAACAAACTCATCAAGTCAATTGAAACAGTGGTATGAATATGTTTCTCCAACTTCAAGCAATAAACATGACAGCAAAATTCTACTTGAGAATGTGATGACCAAATGGTTTCAGCAATGGCGTGTTACAAGGGTTACATTTCGGCAAATTTGAAGGCCATGTGATGTGTTACTGCTGAATTGGACTCTGCTTAGTAATCTTGTCAGGATTTATTCCATACTACAAGCTTTTGATCGCAAGTAAGCCAGCTAATCTACTACTGTATCGAACTGACGAACAATTAGAAAAAGGAATGCGAGTTACCGTCCCGTTCGACATCTTACAAGATACTGTCTTGGACCAGCTTACGCTCGCTGAAGATTGGAAAACACTGTCCTCCATGTCCCGAACGTGCCGATTGTTGGTTCAACCATCGCAAAGACGTCTTTTCGCAACAATTTCCGTTGCGGGGCCCTCAGTCCGACACCTTTTCAAACTTTTCCATGCCAGTCCACACATCGCCCAATATATATACCACCTTCATTATCATCTGGATGACTCTGACTGGGACACACAGACAGGCCTGATGCAACAGTTTTTCTTGCTAAAGAGTTTTGAGCTTACAGGAGGATTTCCCATAAGGAACTGGAACACCATCCCAGAAGAGCTACGGACTGAATTTATTCGTGTCTTTTCCTCACCAAACCTCACAACCCTCGCACTCTCTCGATTTCGATACTTTCCAGTCACCACCTTTGCGCACTGTCACAACATCATGTGTCTGAAACTTCATGACCTTCACATAAACTTCACTCCTCGTGCTGGAGTCAAAAGGTTCATCAGAAGACCCATCCCAAAGCCAACCATACTGTATGTTGCGCAGAATGACACATTCGTGTTTGCACGTTTATTCAAGGCTAAATGGAGCGACTCAAGTCCCATAATGGATTTATCTTCTGTCCGTGTATTGCACCTTCATTATTCGACACCAATACCAGGCAGCATCCTACATGATTGGAAACCAAACATCGAAATTCTTGCCATCACCGGTGTGTCACTACATTATATTCAAGGAACAATATTAATTAAATACAGCCGTGCACCATCTGGAAAGTTTCTGCAATACCACGTTGGTGACCAGCGTACGTGTCCTGATTAGGGAATGTCACGGGTTTACAAACCCGTACGGGTTGAGGTCGCGGGTGGGTATGGGTACGGGTACGGGTTGGCATTTTCGTACCCCAGCAAAACCCGTACCCATGACACGGGTGTGATGGGTGTGACATGTCAATCACGAACGCGTCACCTTCACCACGACACACTACCATACCCTCCAGCACGGTTACCAGACAGCGTGGCACGGCAACAACAATGCAAACGACTCGGATATGTCGGTCAGTAGTAGTGACACACAGACCACAGCAACTACAACAACAATGAGTCAAACACGATGGAATATGGGGGGGATAGACACAAACAGAGGACAGGCTTACAAGGTGCGCCCGTGAAGTTCTCTTTTCTTTTCGTTTCCTGACTATTACAACAGCACCACGACGACGGCACCTGCCAATGGACCCCACCTTACAGATCAACGCCAACGCGGTCACATGCAGTTGCTCACCACCAACCACACAACACGATACCATCAAAACACTGGCGCATGCCCTGTGCCCCAGTTACCAACAACGATGAGTCAAACACGATGGAATATGGGGGGGATAGACACAACCAGAGGGTGGGCTTACAAGGTGCGCCCGTGAAGTTTTCTTTTCTTTTTGTCTACTGACTATCACAACAGCACAACGACGACGACACCTGCCAATGGACCCCACCTCGCAGGTCAACGCCAACACAGTCACATGCAGTTGCTCACCACCACACAACACGATGCCGTCAAAACACTGGCCCATGCCCTGTGCCCCAGTTACCATTTCCTGACTTTCCGATCCTCGCAGGGTTGCACGGCAGTATCGATTGACACTTGCACTGCCTTTGTGAGGTTCATTGGTCATTTCTGGAGGGATACCTGCACATGGGTTGGGAACCCCCGGGTTTTTGTAAACCCTCGACCCGTACCCACGAAAACCCACACCTGTGGATGCAGGTACGGGTTTTAACGGGTACGGGTGCGGGTTACTCTGGAAAACCCCAGGGTAGCCCGTGACATTCCCTAGTCCTGATATGCGACAACAGAGGCAACTTCAGCGAAGTCAGTAAGAACTTGGTCAGGTGGAGATCAGCTGGAGGTTGGAAACTCGAAGAACTTTTCCTTGTGATGAGACCAGACGATGGCAAGCATCTCGATTGGCAAAATTTGCAAACTATGCTGAACAAAACACGTTTCCCACTTCTACATTCAGTAAACATCGTCCAAGTAGGAGGACAGAAAGTCAGCCTCTCTGAACTAACATGGGTAGCTGATTTGACGACCGTTTCGATATGCTTTGTTGATCATCAAACAACTCCTCAAAATTACTCAACATACTTACCAGCCAACTACCTTTAAAGTGAGCTGTTGTCTACATTATGCATAACATTCTAACATATATCCAAGAACCGGACTGCAGTATTATTACTAAGAGAGAGGACGTACATGTCATTGTTGAAGCTACTACGTTTCTGCAGTTAGTTGTAATGTGTGTAACAAATTATATGTATCACACCTGGTTCTGTGAACGTTTGTACAGCTCTGGTTTCTATGCAGCGTTGCGATCAATACAGCAAAAATACATTATACACGCCTTCTTGGCCTACATCACCTCCATCACGCAGTCAGACATTTTGATCTGCCATGGTCAACACAGCAAAGTCTAAAAAATCACGTGTGCATGTGAATCAAGTCATGTGATTGTTCAACTTTCAACATTCTGATGCGCATTGCTGTCTTCTCTTCCTACTCCATTCACAATGAACCTATATCGATGGACTTTCTTGCTACTTACCATCATTCCTCTGCCTTACACAACCTATCACACCGATACAAATATAGAATCCAAAGCAATTTGCAGAGGATTGATAGCGGCTGAGAACAGCCCGAGCTTTCATGCATCCATAATAGAGATTGGAAACAATCTGAGCCCGCAGGCACATGTTGACTATGTCAACGATGATTATATACGTCTGGCTGAGCAGACAGATTGGGAAATATATGTTCAGGCTAAGACAAGCACTGTCTATGCCAATGAGTTCCGAGAAGTGACCATGAAATTAACTTGTGTAATCCATTTGCTGCTTGAGTTTGCCTTGGAATATCTGTACAGTCAAATACCGTCCTTGGTATACTATAGTGCAATTGTATATTCCTTATCAGTAAATTACGCTATTGATCTCTGCATTTTGCTTGCACTTCGATTCTCAAGACATTGTAGTTTCCGTCATTTGTATGCAAACAAACTTCGCTTGTTTCGAGAGCACCTCTCTTTATCGCTACCTGCATTATTTGTTCGTCGTCAGTTTGTTGTGCATTTTTTCTCCTTGCTTCTGGTTTCACAAACAATTCAATATATATCTGCCCATACGTATACCTCAGTTTCGTCCATCTCTGACTGGTATAGCTATGAACCGTTATTGTCAAATAGAGTTTCCTTTAACCATGCATCAACCATAGATAAACCATATCTTCATTCTATTAGACATTGGTATGGGTATGGATGCACTTGTCAAGCAATGCCAACGGTTGTGCCTTCCATTCAATATGGTGGTGGAAAATTCAATGCAAACATAAGCGAGATCAAAAGCTATATAACTCCATACAGTCTAGAACCACAGAATGCAACCTCCATCAATTATAAATATGTTGGCCAGGTTGTGCTTCAAGCAGCTCAGGCTGAGTTACGTAAAAACCCTGAACTTCTTATATGTTATATGCCATTGGAATTATTAAAGGGGAAATTATCATTAGTTCAAGCAAAATCTATTGCAAAGATGCACAATGTTACAATATCGAGCAAATCTCTGGTTGCAGACGTGCTGGAGGTTTTATCCGCACATATGTGTTCATCAAGATGTTCTCAATTTTATACATTGTTTGCTCCAGTGAAGCCAGCTTTGACATCTTCTGAACGTCAAGCTAAATGGTACAAGGGTCTAAGTAAAGCAGACAAGAAAAAAATCATTAAAAAAAAGTACATTAAATTTTTAAAAGGTCCAACATACAAAATTAAGAGAAGTAAAGAGAATAAGTCTACTTATCAGACATCAAAAATCACTAAATTCCCACCTAAACCACCCTCTAAGAAATTAATTCATAGAATAATTAGTGGATTCTGTGAAGACACGCACCCTGACAAACTTCTTGAATCTGGATGCGCAGTTTGTGGTCAGCTAACGAGATTATCGGACATGTTAAAACGATCTGATACCTCAAGTAACTTGGAGCCATTGATTCGAGAAGGGGTTTCCCGAATAGAAAGAAAATCTGAACAAAATGAAATTCATGAAATCACGGGGCCTGTGATTGATGATGACTGTAAATATATATGCAAAACTTGCAATAAAAGTCTAGACAAAGGAAAAATACCCGCTAATGCACTTTGTAATGGTTTTTGGCTTGGTAAAATTCCTGATGAGCTTGCCTGCTTAACTTATGTTGAACAGCTTCTCATATCACGTGTTCGCCACAATCGCTGTATAATCAAAGTAGCCTCTGGACAGTACAAGATGCATGCAAATGCAATAACTTTCCAAAATCCTGTTGCAAAGATTTATGACACTCTTCCTCCTCCTCTTGAGGAACTTGATGAAGTCTTGGCTGTTATGTTTACGGGACCTTGTCAACCTACAAAAAAAGACCTTCAACGTACACCATTGCTGGTCCGTCGAAAGCAGATTTCAAAAGCACTTGAGTGGTTAAAATTGAACCATTCTGACTACTTTGACATCGGAATATCACAGGAGAATTTGAGCCAGTACCCTTTGAGTGATGCACCAGTTGTAATTGACTATCGTCAGTCAATAATAAATAGGGAGCGAGAGGCTACAAGTGTTCATGATAATGAAGAAGAGATAGGTACCGAAGAGGGTCCTTGTACTTTTGTAGTGCAAGGGCTGACTGGAGAAGAGTATTCTACCATGTCTTTGGAGGCAATAAAGGCTCGAGCACTGAAGCATTTGACATCAAACAGAAAAATCATGTTTGCAGGCCATTCTCAACAACCCAACTCCATTTATAACAACCCTCAACTATTTCCTGCTATGCTACCATGGCTATTTCCTTATGGCCTTGGAGGTATCGGAAATGATATGATACCCCATAACATATCTACAATGGCCCACAAGCGTTTACTGTTAATGTATCATGATAAGCGATTCCAAATGGATCCACATTTTCCACTTATTGCATTCAATCATGAACAAATACAACAAAGTACGACGGGAGGTTATCTTACAACCAAAAAATCCTCATTTAATTCAGTAACTGAACGCTTGCTTAACCTTGACATGCAAGTGATATCTAGCATAAATAAAAGACTTGCTTCAGGTGAACGAGTAAAACCAGAAACTGAGCAAGAAAAAGAATGCTTTCAATTGTTGAAGGATCTGGATTCTGTTGGAGGTCACGTGCAAGGTTCAACAACATCTAAAAAATACATGCGAAATGAAGTTTGGTCACTTATATCTTATATTGGTGCTCCCTCCTGGTTTATTACACTTTCTCCAGCAGATGGCAAGCATCCTATTTGTCTTTATTTTGCTGATACCAACACAGAATTCAGACCTGAATTAACCTTTTCACCAGAATGCTCTACATTAATTGCGAAGAATCCTGTAGCTGCAGCACACTTTTTTCATTTTATCTGTGAAAACTTTATTAAACATGTACTAGGTGTTGGAAGTAATCATCCTGGGTTATATGGTGAAACAGATGCATACTATGGAACAGTTGAACAACAAGGGAGGTTAACACTGCACCTTCACCTGCTTTTGTGGATAAAAGGTGCCTTATCTCCTCAAGACATACGAGATCGAATTATGGATCCTTCATCAGACTTTCAAAAATGTATTGTTGAATATCTTGAATCAGTACATAAAGGAGAACTTCATGGAGGATCCTTTGAAGATATTCGAGCTCAATGTCAAGATGCTCAGAAAAACAACTCAGAATACAAAAATCCAACCCATACTATGCCTATACCTCCACCTCCTCTCTGTAAGAATAGAGGGTGCAACAAATGTTTAAGATGCACTAATCTTAAAGTATGGTGGGGTAAATTTCATGCAACAACAGATGATCTTTTGTCTAGATCAAATCATCATGGGTGCCGCAGACCTGAGATAGATGGGGAAGACCCTACAAAAGTGAAGCAGAAAGGTTGTCTAAATGCACAAGGCCAATGTAAGGCACGCTTTCCACGTGAGATTGTAGAGGAGACAATGGTTGATCCGCTGAGCGGTGCATTGAAAATAAAGAAAGGTGAAATGTGGCTCAATACATTCACACCTGAGCTAACATATCTTCTTCGCTGCAACACAGATACTACTAGCTTGATGTCAGGTACAGCAATAAAGGCGGCTGTTGGATATATCACTGAATATGTAACAAAAACTGGCTTAAATTCATATACAGCTTTTGATGCTGTTCGTCAAGTGTTTAACAGAAACTCTGAAATGATTGGAGGTAATGATGACAGGCAAAATACTGCTCGTCGATTGATGACAAAAATGGTGAATGCATTAACTGCTAGGATGGAAATAGGAAGTCCCATGGCTTCTCTCTATCTGCTTGGAAACCCTGACCATTATACAAGTCACAAGTTCACTCTTTTCTATTGGAAAAATTTTGTAAGAGAGGCTAGAAATCCCTGGATGATTACGACAGAAAATGACACGTCAAATTCAGCTGTTTCTGAGGAGAAAGAAATGCCAGAGAAGGTAGTACTGCAAAAATATGAGGGAATGTACATTGGATTGTCAAATGTTTATGATTATATTTACCGTCCTATTGTTTATGAGAAGATGTCTTTATATGACTGGATAAGAAAAGCGAAAAAAGAGAAACGCTCGAAAGAGGAGCAGCAGGAATTTGATGCTCACTATGACAAAAATGAAAATGAAGTGGAATCTGATGATGAATCAGTTACTGAAGGAGAAGATGAACTCAATTTTCTGGGCGGTGGAGCAACTACATGTGATATAGAAGATGAATCAACAGATGAATTGCTTGGTGAATCGGATTCTGATGATGAACTTAACAACTATGAAAATTTTTATGATGATGAACCAGATAGTCAAGAGTTTCTACCTGATCACCCTCAACATTGTACACACAAGGTAGTTGTTGTTGATGAGGAGAATGCTCTTATACCAAATTTTGTTGGTGGAGGCTTACCTCGCCGTGATCAAGGTGACAGAGAATATTACTGTTCTACTATGCTTTCTTTGTTCAAACCTTGGCGAAATGGCAAAGATTTGAAACTAGAAGATGAATCTTGGGATGAAGCTTTTTGTGGCTATGCATTTTCAGCAAGACAACTTGAGCTTATGAATAATTTCAATATCAAGTATGAATGTAATGATGCCAGAGATGACTACTCTGCACAAATGAAAAAGAAAGGTGAAAGAGAAGGAATATTAGGCTCATGGGATGACAGTGGCGGTGAACTTGATACTAACTTTCCTGACTTTGGTGAAGATGGTCTATTGGATATTGATGAATCACTGTATATGTTGGGAGACCCCAATAGTATCAATAATCAGAAGCTTCATGAAATGAACAGAATTGAGAATGTTGTTCAAAATGCAGGGTGGCTTGATCCATGCATTGGCAATATTGATCCAGTGGATGTAAACTTTAAGCCAGAAGAAGAACGAACTGG